ACTATTTTGCCATTTTCTCCCCGAAAACTCAGTCAAATTGAGGTAAAAAGGTCATATTCGGAATCAGCACACTTTTTCCTATCCGAGTATGTGTTTTCGTTCAAAAATAAAGACCCTCGGTAAGTTTGAATTACGCGCGCTTTATTACTTATCGTAATTCCATTAGGTTTATTCAGAGGTCCCATCAACTGGCTAGATTGTGTGTGCGTGTGTGTATGTAAAAATTCAGAGTATAAAAATCCGTTAAATCTTTGCGGATCAGACAAGTTTGCTACATGGTGTAAAAAGTTTAGTAGAATATGAACTGTTTCAAAGTCATACTTTAAACGAAATGGGGATAGATTTTTGTCACCAATGTTTCATATCAGCAGTTGCATGTGAGAAACGGTACAATTAAAAAGTTATAACATTGTTTCTTAAGCTCAGTAGCCTTTCCATGGTTCTCATACTACTTTTCTCTCAGCTCGTTCTTTCATTACTAGCTGGGCGTTGAGAAAAAACAAATGATTCTTACTTCCAATGTCGCGAACCACATTGCTAAACATTGATATATAAGTTCAAAAGTATTCCATTGACATTTTTGTTTTATTAAATTTAAGGTTCATGGTCTGAAATCTGACCTGTATTCTTTAATTTATGGTTTGGTATGTCCTTGGCTTTATCAGCATTTTTAGCTATAGTGTTCTGTATGTAAAACGGTATGTATATCAGTTCATTGCTTAATAAGTGAGTTCATTCATCTGTTCTCTATTCTTTCGCTAATCCTCATTTTAGATGTGTTGACTATGTTTACTGAAAAAGCTGAACGTGATATTATGGCACGTCCACCAGCAATACGTAGTAAAGTTCATTTACTAAATTTTAAATATTTATTTCATGCCTGTATGTTAACTGGTGATTTTGAATATTTTACAGCAGTTTTCTGTTATTTCTACTATTATATTGATCAGGGTAAACCATTCTATTTGATAATATTTTAATATAAAAATGGGCCATCAAATGTACCACTGACAACTGCAAGCAGCAGAGCCAACATGGTACAAACCGCACAATCAGTTTACTATTGTTCAATGTATTTAATGCAATTCTTTAACTATTTTGCTAAACGTACACGGTATGCATCATTCTTTGAACATAATCCATACTATGGTAAAGGACAAAATTTATTTGTTTCTGTTTCAGCGTTATTGTCAGCTGGTGTACAATTAATTATAACACAGATACAGTGGTTTAATCGTACATTTGGCACGGCATCAGTATCCGTTAAAAATGCAGTGCCAACCTTAGGTTTTGGTTTACTATGGTTTCTCTTAGATGAATTAAGAAAATTTTGCATTCGGAAATATTCACGATCATTTGTAGCTAAAATAGCATGGTAACTAAGTTATGAAGGTTAACTCTGAGAAATGTGTTTGTTTTAATAATATTGTTTCTTTGTTTATCTGTCTAATCATTTTTTTTTACTATTTTATATTTTTAAAACATATTGATCTTTATACATGAGAGTGGAGAGTCGAACAAAATAAATTATCTGTGTCTGTGTCTGCGTCTGTCTGTTTCTTCATCTATTTGAAATTCGATGCCATCAATAAAAAATCTAGTAGTTTGACCCGTGAATAAATTTTTAATAAGTGATTTCACAAACGTAGATTCAATGTTGAAAAAACCGTTTTGATATTTTCGGATTGTCCGTACTGCCTGCATTAACTGCTCGGTATTTTCTGTCAGGAGAAGAAATCGAGACCACTGGTACTCTTTTCATTATAAACAAAAGAATTTATATCTGCCATAATACGTAAAACGAATGAGAATTAGTTTACAGTCAAGGACATTTATTGAAAGAACACACGCATTTAAATAAATAAATAAAGGAAAACAGTTTTTTGTTACACATATAACGATAAGAGAAGAAAAAGAACTCATTTTTTTGTTTGCAAAAAGAGTAAGACTATTTTAATGGTGTCCATCTGGTCATTTTTGCTGAAGTGACAAACACCATAGACTTAGGTAAATTTAACCGTTGTTATTGCACTGACAAGTCTCCAAGGCAGTGATGTTTTTTGAGATGGAACGAATTATAGTTAGATACCCTCCGTTCTGATGAGTCCTGCATGTCGCCTGAAAAAATGATCGACTTTGCTTCTGCTATAGGATCTATGCCAATCTTGTATACATTTTTACTTCATCAAGGAAAAACGAATGGCAAAGTGAACAACAAAGTTCTTTTATACCAATAAAAAGAGAAAAGGAAAGAAAAAATTCGTTGAAGAGAACTGAAATTGAAAGTTTATACATAGTTATTATTATTATGATTATCGTCTCTTTCTTACCTTTTTCTGTTTTTTCAACTGCACTGCTTCTTAGTAACCGACCTCTTTTTATTTGAAGGAAAAGAGATTATTCTTGCATTTACATACTATCAATGAGAATCAGCACGAAAATGTGCCTTACGATCTTTACATGTCCTGTTTTCTAAAAGCTACTTTTTCTCGTAAATAATGTCAGTTGGATCCTTCGTAACAACTAAGCGTCATGAACCTACTACTTTAGCATTGCCTATTGAAGTCCCGGAGTTAAAATGTGATACATGCAAAGCAAAAGATGCAACAGCTCTTTGTATGGGATGTTATGGCTCATTTTGTTTTGACTGTTTTACGAAACATCGTCAGAAAGTTTCAAGAGACTTTGGTAATTTACTTTGGGAACATGAGCTGTTCGAAGCTCTATTTAAACCATATTCAGCGCAGACGGCGACGGTAACAACTACGACCACATCAGCAACAGCATCAGCTAGAAAATTCGATCCACTTAGTGTACTTGCACAAATTGATTCATGGGAACAAGATTTAGAATCAAGAATTAAAACAATGGCTGCAGCAGCTCGACAAAATGTCAAATCTTCTATTGATGAACGACATGATGCTATATTTTGGCATTATCCAAAAATAACAGATGATCTTCGTACAATACAACAAGCAAAGCGGTACGTCGACCGTGAGAGGTCTTCTATAAAAGAAACACTGTGTGATATCAATAATAATATCGAAAGCTCCTCTAATACACCGTCACTTTGTTTTCGATCAGAAAAAATTGATTTGACGAAAACTATGAAGCTAGTTTCAACACGATCCGGTACTGAAAGACGACCATCAACAGCAGCAGTAGCTTCATCATCATCATCTTCTGATATAGCACGGCAACCATTAGAGTTCGCTAATCTGAGCCAACCAAACGAGCCATTTGAAAAGGTGGAACGCTTAGGTGGTGGAACGGCTATTGGTGCATCAGATAAATTCATCATTTATACCGACATAGATGAAAAACTCGAAAAATGCGATTTATGTATGATCGAATTATCAAACAAATATCGTGTTGTTATTCCATTAGCCGGCGTGGTAGATATTTGTTGGTGCGCAGAAGCTGATTATTTTGTTATTTTAACTAAAAGAGAAGTATATACGTTTAATCCGAATAGAAAACAACTTGATCCTGTTTATGAAATTCAACCACCAAACAAAACTCAGTTTCGGCGATGCACCTATGCAGGTAATACAAATACTCTCTTTGTGTCTTACCGTTCGGACGGCTCGCCCATTGAAGAATGGAAACTGAGCATCAAACCGGTAAGAAGAAGTTTGTGGGAAGTACCAGATTCCTGCAGAGAAAGCGAAAGTATTCAGTGTATACGTATCTCATCAGGCGGAAATCATATAGCCCTTACAGTTAACAACGGTGAAGAAGATTATTTCGTAATACGCGATAGAAAGATGACACAGATTTATCGAATGCCATTACGTGTAATTGACTGTTTAAGTTTTGTTTCCCTTCCAAATAATACATGGCTACTTTCTGTTGTGAATTTCCACCACTTATTTTTAATCCGAGGAAATTCCAATTATGATCTTTTCAAACTAAAGCAGACCAGGGCAGGCAAGTCAACAACAAAAGGTGTTGCAATGGTTGGTGATAATATTGTAGCTCAAAGGACTGCCTCAACTATTTTACTTTTTAAACTGTAGTTTTATTTTTGTTGTAATAAACGTTCAAAAAAAATTTGTATAGTTTTGTCCACAATAATCGCCGTCTCTGTAATGTTATCGTTTTTCTTTTCGTATAGTATTACTTATTGATCTCGTATCTTCAGATTAAATTGTTTCCTTTATATGTCAACGACAAGATCCGCTTCCGGTCTCAGGTGATACGATAGAAATTTGTCTTAGGTATCAATACATCTTCGTTGCGTGTGTTGTTCTTCTTTTTAGTGATGGTACATTTTTTGCTATTGGAAATCCATTACTAGACATACATGCTCAAGTGGACTCGAAATTTCTTGAAAAGTCTGCGACTGAATCGATCATAGTATATGGACTTTTGGTTCATCCATAACTATTTTAGATATAAGCTGAAATCAAACGATGCCATATTAGCAACCGCTGAACACAAAGAACTGTAAGCTATTTAAAGAGCGATTAAGAGCAGAGAATCTAATTTCAAATCCATTTAGATTTCGCGAAATTAAAGATGATAAAAAACATCGCTATTTTGCTGGTGGTTCAACGCAAAATATGATGAGAACAATAATTGTAGGTGACATTTTTCCCTTATCTAAGTACTAACCCATGACTTTATTTTAATCCCTAGTGGTTTCTACAAAAGCCAAAAGTAGCAGCTTATATGGGATGTGTTGGCAATGATCTTTGGTTGGAAAGATTAAAAGAATTAGCTGACGAAGCTGGTTTAATCACGTCCTATCAAGAGAAGGCAAATTTACCGACAGGAAAATGTGCAGTTCTAATTACACAAAATGGCCGGTATGTGGAAGACAAAATATTCAATATAAATTCGTTAAACTACAATATTCTCTTCCTATTTAGATCAATGGTTGCGGACCCAGGAGCTTCACACCATTTCTCATGTGATTATTTAGATAAACCAGACAGTAAATCTCTAATTGAAAATGCAAAAATAATATGTTGTGAAGTAAGTGGATTAGGTATTGTAACACATTCACATGTGTCTGTATGATTATCTCTTCACGTTAGGCATTTTTTATTCAATCATCTTTTGACTCCCTGATGGCATTAGCTGCACACGCACACAGAAAAGAAAAGATTTTCTGTTTGACATTATCGTCGAAATACATTGTACAAGATCGCAATGGAGATAATCTTGTAGCAGCATGGCAATACGTAGATTATATGTTTGGATATGAAGAAGTGAGTCGATGGTCTGTACTCTTATCCGATGACGTTTCAGACCCTAATTCTATAATTATAGGAGACAAAATTATTTGCCAAAACCCATCGGGGCGTACAAGTAAGTAGTGAGGCTATTTAGTTTAAGGTACCTGCTTCTTCATCAGCGATTCTTGTAGACAGATGACATACAGTCGTCGATCAATGCTTTGATTAAAATGCCTAAATTAAATGAGTTAAGACCTCGCACTGTTGTTGTAAGTAGAATACCTGAGCGTACAATGGTTGGAACGGGTAAAGACTGTATAAGTTTATCAAACGTTTTGTAGGTTTCACATTCTTAACTAATATTCTAGCGGATGGAATTAAAGAGTACATATGGAATAAGCCATCAGATATGATTGACACAAATGGATGCGGAGAAGCATTTGCAGGAGGTACGCATAAAATAACCAATACTCTCATCAAAACTGAGTATAATGGGTTTTAATTCTAGGTTTTCTGGCCTATATAGCATTAGAAAAGAGTGTTGATGAATGCGTCAAAGCTGGAATGTATTGTGCATATGAATGTCTAAAACTGGCGGGATGCACATTTCCTGACAAAGTTTCATTTGACTCAGCGAAACTTTGACTTTTCACGTGTAACACATGAGAAGGAGACATCAGAAAACGGATATTATGATGCATGCATAGTATTCTCTGTACGAATAATAAGCAAAGTGGGTTTCTTCCAAGCAGAAAAATTGATTTTTTATTATTGCAAATGTTGAAGGTTGTTATGCACATTTTATGTCTTCTTAAAAATTCGATTGTTTTGATTATTTGTTGTACTTTTTTTATGGTATACAGAAAGAGTACATCCATTAAAATAAAAGTAATAAAAGAGTTGTCTATATAAAAGAATGAAAAAGGAATTTACTTCTATATACGCAAATTTCCGTAAAAAACAAACTACTTAGTCAATGTTGTATTCTATTTCAATGTCACTTTCTCGACAGGTGATTGCGTCAAAACAAGAGTATTTCGACAGATCTTTGCAATTGCCCAATGAACCTTATAAAATAATTTGTGTTATGTGTCCCAGAAACCCAAGTGACTTTATTTCTCTAGATATTATACATGTCAAATTGTGCGCAAGAGGATCTCACGGTGAAAGTTTGCTGCTTGTATCAGAGAATCAAGTGCCTTATCTAACACAATTCTTCCAAAAACTTTCTCATAGATCGGTAGAATACGTAATTTTCATCAGGAAACGTGGTATCTAAAATTAGAAATGAATATATCTGGCAGTAAATCACATTTTGTCTCAAGCTTCGTGCAAGTTACCCACTCTAATAAATACATTCTTTAAAGCTGGCAGCTGCGAGAAAGGTCTTTTACTGTGCCAGATGGATAGCTGGTCATCTTGCAAAAGTTGTTTTCACACGAAAGCATTGTTTTTAATAAAGATTGCCTTGAGTATCCAGTGGCTCATATTGTATAAAAGGCAGTTTGTATATGTATATGCTGTCATATACGTTCGGTGATTGTGTAATTTTCTTGTTCTTTTCTTTACATTCCTCGGTAATGTACGTACACGAGAAAATGAATCAGTAATAAAAAGGTTGTGCTCACATACAAAAAGGGGAAGAAAAATTAGAAATTTTCTGTTTATGCAAGAGTTCGTAATAAAAATAAGCGGAAAAACGATAGAATTAAAAGAGAAACTTCAATTCATATTTTAATCAGTTAAACAAAGTGTTTAACCTAATGGCAACGAAATCTCCTTCAAATAGTGGCGCTGGTTCTAATATACCTAAGCGGAAACAAAATCTACGTTTTTCTGATATTGGCAATCTACCACATCAAACACTATTACCAATAGATGGTTATCAACATCGTAAACTTCTTCCACTAGAACTGGCTTTAAAATCAGTTACGAATCTGCAACCAAATGTAGATCAGAAAGTTGAAGTAGCTTTACATAACTGTCTGTATCTTTCAGAAAACCTTACGCAAGACGAATCGGCAGCCATTCAAATTTATACTATGGAATGGGCACCGCACGAGACATGTGTTTATTATTTACTTAACCAATTATTACGTTTAGAAGATCGTGAACCTTTAAAACCATGGTTCAACTATTTAAAATTAATATTAACAGGTTTATATAAACTAGCATCATTTAAAGGCACTGTTTGGCGTGGAGTTAAACTCGATCTTAGCCGAGAATATCCAAAGGATAAAGTATTTATTTGGTGGGGTTTTAGTTCATGCACAGAATCACTGGAGGTTCTACAATCAGAACACTTTCTGGGAAAAACCGGTCATCGAACATTGTTTAGTATTGAGTGTCTGGATGGCAAAGAGATTCAACGTCATTCTTATCTAAGAAAAGAGAGAGAAATTCTGTTATTACCCGGGCGAAAATTTCGAGTAAAAGGACTTGTTGAAATGGCTCCAAATGCGCATGTTATTCAACTAATAGAAATTATTCCGAAATTCCCCTTGTTAGCTGATCCTTTCGTTACCTCCGAACCAGTACTTATGGGCGGCGAAAAGAGAACTACATCTACATCACTTCTATCTAAACCTGGCTATTTCACCGCTGATGATCGTGATGGCTCGAGAAGCACGGTTGAAGAGATAATCACACAACACCGTTCTAGTGCAGTAGTTGAAATATATCGTCAACAGCTGAATAATCGAGACATGGAATTATTAAAAAATGAATTAAGATCAAATGAAAGTTGGTCTAAATTAGATTTATCATTCACTAATATCACTGAAAATGGTGTTCATGATCTTTGTGAAGGACTAAGAGAAAATCGTACGCTGTCAACATTACACGTCTATGGTAACCGAATTGCAGATTCTGGTGCAATATCAATTGCACAAACCTTAAAGAAGCATCCGACAATAAAAGACCTAAGTTTAGTTAGGAATGATATTACCGATGATAGTTGCGATGCATTGGGTGCCATGCTGAAAGTGAACTACACATTAGAAAGACTTGTACTTAGTGAAAATGACATAACGGACGTGGGCATTGAACATATTTTACATGCATTGGCAAATGTAAATGATAGTTTGAAAGAATTAGATCTTCGTAGAAATTGTCTTACCGACAGATGTATTGATGATGTTGTACAAATGTTGCAACATAATCGTACATTAACATATTTAGATGTTCGAGATAATAAATTAAGCAAAGGTGGTAAAAATCGTATTGAAGAAGCAGCGCAAGATAATGATGTTTTAACTGATTTATATCTCTAAAGCTGGTTTTGTAGATAGGTTTCTGTTTAGTGTTTGCTTTTTACATAAATCATAGCAAAGTAAGGGCTTACAATTTATTAACAAAATAATAAATTGCGCCGTTCCTAGAATAAATGGCTTACCCACACTTTTTTCCGAATAAATGGCTATAAAGTTGCCAATTTATCTATCCGGGAGGGTGCTCTAGCATAAATGGCATAGCCATTTATTACTCTCCAGCGTAAACGGCTCTTTCTTCATAAGTTATGTACGATTACGACGCCATGATATGTTGCACTGGTACATAGTAGTTCCACATTTTTCCAGTCAACGTTTGTGATCTACGATTGCACTATGTTTAACTCGCACTTTTCTTAGAGAGCATTTTGCAGTGAAAGTTTGGGGATCGAGCTTTGATCTGGTTATAATCTTTATTTGAAAGGGAAAGGTCAGTATGAGTAGCGAGTGAGGTAGTAAATTCAGATGACGTACACAGTTAATTCACCGCTCTAGTCCCGTATCTAGATAGGTCTTGTTTTCGGTGAGGGTGAGGGGCTCCAAATGCGCAATTCTTGATAAACGCGTTAAAACAAGTTCCCTGGATGTCCCAAAAACCATTTGCAACTGGTCTGTGACTGGTACATAGCTAGTGCATACAGGAAACAGACAAAAATTGTATGGAAGAAACTAGAGAAACAGGAATGCATGAATCCTTTTAATGATCACAAAAATGACAGGCCGAAAATCCAAGAAAAAAATCGAAAGCTGGCATCACTCTCTTGAGGGTTACGGTAGCAGTGCTGTGTAAGAAACGGAAGTACTGGTTTCCAACGCCATCCTCGGAAAATAAACTTTCAAGTAGTTGAAGTTTCTGGTGCTTACTAGTCGAGTCAGACCGAAACTAATCCACTAAACAGCACAATAGGTACGACGGTTTTTTACTGTTTGTTCCACACAAAGATGGTTGACTCAGTTTTTCATGCCTTGTGTGAATACCGAATAAAAATATCTATAAGTGTAGGGAAATACATGGTCTTTTTTCCTTAATTTCACCATAACGATAGAATTGTGATTTTCCCAATGATCATTAGCATAATTCTTCGTTGTGAAAATTTTGACTAAAATCTATGAAAAAGGTTTTTTTCTTAGCCAGTTTTTATTGAAAATTTTGCTCCAAGCAAGAAACATAAGAAACTTTGCTCTTTATGAGCAAAAAGGTTTTCCCACTGTTGAGGTGCAGTCTTCGAGATCAAAAAACTTTATTTTGTAAATCTTTTAGATAAATCCACAATTTAATTAAGTTTCTGGCATTAGTTTCGAAATATTCTAAGCGTTATTTCTGTCCATGTGGTGAAATTAAGAAAGAGGATTGGTTAATTGTTGCTTGTTAGTGACTTAGAACTATTGTGTGAGCTGTGGGAATAGATAAAAGCAGGATCTTCTTCTACGACTAAAATTCCCGTGTGACATAGTAAAATTCTCGCGGTAGGGGGTGAAATTCCTGTTCCATGCACTAAAATTGGGAATTCCATGCACTTTGGGAATAATTAAGATTCTCATGAAGATCAGAGCACTATTCTTTCCGACTAAAATTCTCTTGTAGCAGAGGAAAATTCTTCGGATAGTACGTAAAATTCGTGCTCAATGAACTATGTTTCCTGTGGGAATAATCGAAATTCTCATAAAAAAATAAAATATTCGTGAAGCAACATCTTCTTTTCGGACTAAAATTCTCACAGTAGGAGATAAAATTCTTGCGGGAAATAATAATTTTCCGTAAAAAAGTGTGATGTCACACCGTGACGGGTTCTCTGATTTTTCTTTGGTTAATACAGATTAATTAGAATAGTTTCGAACTTAACAAGCTATCACGTCTTGTAGAGCAAACAATTTTCTACAAACTGGTATACTTGTTTAATTTTCGCCTGCTCGTCTTCAGTCTTTTAGACACGTTTTTCAGATAACTCCAAAATGGATTTCGGGGCTGTTTGTACGACAGCTGTATTTTCATAACTAATCAACATTCAGAGCCAAGACACTTTTCATTTTGTAGAGAAACGTTTAATGTACTTAATTATGTAGTTGCCATTTTAGATTAGTTTGTAGCTTTACTGTAGCTATCTTTTGAAAAAGTGCGAAAAAAGGATACCGTTAGCTGAACAAGCCGTCTAACGGATGGTCTACTGAACCCTATTTCCCCATAAGCTTTAAGGAATCTCTTTTTTTTAACATTTTCATCAAGTCTACCCTTACTCGCACCGCTCACGCTTCTAAAGTTTTATTCGTCACGCTTGAAGTTGATGTCGGTATAAAACCAGTTGCTGTAGCTAGTCAAATGACAACTCATCAGTGCAGGGGACATGCATGATATCCCCAGGATATGCGTATTAAGGGATATTCTCTATCCCTTAATACGCCATTTTTTTTGTCTCTTCTTCTTTCTCGAAGTTCAATGTTTTTTCTTTACACTACGGGTGTTAATTTAATTTTATTGTTCATTTATAATAATGGATAAATGTAAATGAATCATTTATATTTAAAAAATAAAGATAAATTCGTCATTTATATTTATTTATTTATTTCTGCCTTTAATTAAAAATAAAGGTAGAAATAAATAAATAAATATAGATGAATCACTTACTTTTATAAAATAACGATAAATGTTTTTTTCATTTATCTATACTTATTTTTTAAATATAAATTATTCATTTACATTTATTTTCCAAAGTAACACTAAATTAACACCCCTACTTCACACCGCCCACATTACCAGTTATTGTTTGATTTAAAAACCACTTAACGAAAACAAGAGAAATATTCTCTCGGATAAAATACTACAAGTCTATGGATAATTGAAAAAGAAGAGAAGAGAAATAACATTACTAAGCACCTACCGAATAGACATGACTAGTAATTTTCAATGCTTGCTACATGCGAACAGAACAGAAAAGAGAGGAAAGAGGCGTGTAAATGGAAAGGAAGAACAAAACACGACAGCTGTGTTTCATAAGGAACAGAAAGAAAAGTGACTATAAGTGCACAAAAGCGATCATTTATGGCTGTTCTGCAGCAGTGTCCGAGTTCCATCAATTCTGAATTTTACCTTTCATTACGAGAATTGCCCTTGATTGTGAGAATTTTTCCATAGCAACAAACATAACACAACTTCAGAACCCATCACAAGTAAAACTGCTCACAATTCCGGAATTTTACGGCTGCCATGTGAATTTTAATCACAGTCGCTGGACTTTAATCGAATAGACAAGAATGTTCCTCTGTTACAAAAGAATTCTACTTGTCTAACAAAAATTCAGAACGTTCCAAATTGATTCTTCATGAGAATTTTACTTTTTCAGGAGAATTTTGATTATTTCCATAGGAATTTTACCTGTGGGTATCATCAAACTTCTCTTAAAAAAGTAAAATTTGGAAACTTGATGGAACTCGGATACAACTAGTGTTTTGTTCTTCCTTTCCATTCACACGCCTTTTTCCTCTCTTTTCTGTTCTGTTCGCATGTAGCAAACATTGAAAATTACTAGTCATGTCTATTCGGTAGGTGCTTAGTAATGTTATTTCTCTTCTCTTCTTTTCTCAATTGTCCACAGACTTTCTGTGACAAAAAACATTGGACATATCAAATAAATAATTTATTCCATTTACTATGTTATTTACGATTTATTAAATATTTAAATATAGAAATATCTGCTGCAACAATAACTGTTGATTATAATATTCCATTATCAAAATATTTAACCTGTTTCAAATGACGTATTTATGATGTGCCATTTACACATATTAAACAAGTATTAATGTTAATGCCTGACTTGAAAGTATTAACAATCGATGGTGATAGTTTTTCTTTTTTTTTTCTTTTCATTAAAGTTGAAGATAGTTACAATAATACAAATTATGTTGATAGTTCCCAATGGGAACATCTGTTTTTAACCTCATTATTAAAATTAAACAAATTTCAGTTAGTAGTTGTATTGAGGATAACAAAGGAAATGCTTAATGATAAAATAGAAAAATTTCAGTATGATCAATATTGGTCAAAAAGAAATTTTCAAATTAATGTTGAACAAATAAATGATTATAATATATATATAGA